TCAGGAACCGACCCGCTCTCTGGTAGACAACTCAACTCTACATATATAATCGTATTTCGTACGCTATCGAGACGATAAGGTCGCGGATGCGTCCGAGGGCGGCGACACCGAAAACAAGAAAACGCGTAATCGATACGGATAAACGATTTCTCGTATCAAAAAAAAAAAACAGTAGTGACGATACGACGACCGACCGGAGAATGCGCCGCGAGTACGCTTTTTCCGGACGCGACGGCGACGGCCGCGAACGACATTTGGAGACGCGCGGACCGGACGAAAAAGACCCGCTCTGGGCTATAGCGTCGAGAACGCGACGGAAAGAGGTCTTGAAAGGCCGGAAAACCGGGCGAAAAGCGGAAAAAACGGTATATAAAAACAATAATAATGAGTAATAAGTAGAGCCCGGATTTATATGCATTTAAAAAGTGTCAAATATTATGCAAATATGCAAAGAAAAAGTAGCTAAATATGCAATTATATGCATCATGTTACACTTTTACACCAAAACAAATTCTAAATACTTTATCAAAAACAAAAAAAAAAATGATTATATCCACTGCTCTTTATTTCAAATCATTTAAAAATAAAGATTATAATAAAATATATACATATAATATAATATAAATATTTTAAATCATTTGAAGTTACTCATATAAAACTAATAGAAAACTTATAAAAAAATATAAATCTTTTAAAATAACATTTTTAAAAATTTGAATATTTTAAACGTTAATAATTTTCATAACAGTGAACAATAATAAATTTTTCCATATTTTCTGATGTCATTTAAGTTCTTTTTTTCAGTTAGAATTAACTTATACGTACTAAAAGACCTTTCTACATCCACCGAAGTTATCAGTGCAAACTTCATACATGAACACATAGAAGGAGTTTGGTGGCATGATACTATTTTCTTTCCCTGACAAAATTGCTGTATCTGCTTCGCGGTTTGGAATCCAACATTTTTTTCAATTAAATATAACAATTTTTCTTGAATTATTTTTCCTTTTTGTCCTGGTACTTTTTCCATCGCCAAAATAACATTATTTACAATTTGAATAGAATCACACTGTTTGATTTAGGAAAAGGTTAGGTGTCGCAATGACAAAGTATAACAGTTTAAGGTTTTCCGGTTTAGTTGTCGTAATGACAATATTTTAATAAAATGTCGCAATGACGAAACACAATAGAAAATATGTAACTTACAATTTTTAGTTGATTGTACAGATTAAAATAAACAAGAGACGCATAAAAGAAGACCGCACTGTCCGAGCTTAAATGCAACGATGATCGCACTGACGGTAGGGATGTCCAAATATTATCGATAATATCGAAATATCGATATTTGTTGTAAAAATATATCGATATTTTATGTCGATATTTATAATCCGATATATCGACCATGTCGATATATTTGCCGTAATATTGGATAATTTTTTTCATGATGTTTTTCAATAATTTTTGAAATTTAATTGAAAATTTAAATTATGATTTGGGTAGTACAGATGTATTAATATGTCCTTCATGGTGGATATATCCACCTTGATGTCTATGGTCGACACTCGACAGTGATCATAGGCCATAGCCCGCATAAGACACTATAAATAAATGGATAACTAATAATCTAATTTTAGAATGACTAATCAATAGAAATAAATATAAAAATAATATTAGTATTAGTATACAATTATTTATAATGACGATAAATGTTAATATTTACATGTTTACAAAATGTGGTAGTGTACAAGAACAAGATACAGTTGTTAGAGTGTAGTGTTTGAGTGTTCCAATGTTTGTATAATTGTGTATTACTTTGTAGGTAACTTTTTAGTTGGTTAAAAATGTCTGTCAATTTATCAAAAAATCAAATTTTAAATTATTTTACCCAAATAAATGCATACAGTTATAAATGCAAAATGTGTAATAAAACGTACAAGACACCTTATGGTGGTATTGGAAATTTGAAAACACATTATGCTACTCATTTAAAAGATCCTTTAGATAAAGTCGTTCCTGGAAAAAGGAAATCGCAAACGGTTTTACCATCCGCATCGTTCAATACAAACTCAACCGAAGTAGATATTCCAGATGAACCTCAAATTTTAGACCATGTAAGTATATTTACTAAACCCATAAGCTTTTGTTTATGTATAACCTACTTATTTAAATGTATATTTTAAACAATCAATACTGAATACATTTTAATTTATTTATAGGAACCTTCTTGCTCTAAATATTCAAAAGTACAGCAAACTTTACCTAGTATGGTAATGAACATTAAATCAACAGAGAGTATGTAAAAATTATTTTTGTTATAATTTAATTTTATAAGAGCTTAAAAAATACTTCATTAATTGTGAAACTAAGACCACATTTGTTCAATTTTATTTAATAGGTGGCACGAAAGCAGAAAAAATTACAAACGCTATAGCTTATTATATTTGTAAAGACAATGTGCCGTTCAAAACTGTTGAAAATGAAGGTTTTAAGCATTTGATGCAAACAGCATGCCCCTTGTACAAAATTCCTAGTAGGAATACTATTAGAAGAAGAATAGATGACATATATGATGTCATGTCTTGTAAATTTAAAAAATCTCTTTCAAAAGTTAATTTTATAGCTGTTACTACTGATGCGTGGACGGAAACAATGCAGATGAAGAGTTTTCTTGGTATCACATTACACCTTATTGACAATTTCTGTTTAATATCAAGTAATAATAAAAATAATTAAATCTTTTGATAAATATTTAAAAAAATTAAAAATTTCAAATTAGAATAAAAGTTTTAAACTCTACTTTTATTTTAAAAAAAATGAATTATAAGTGTATGTAACATATTAAGTACTTAGTTTAACTTAATTTAAGGAACTGTTGGTACTGTTGAATTGGATGAAAGTCATACTGCACAATACATTGGAAGAACATTAGTGGAAACTCTAGCCAACTGGGGATTAGAAAAACATAATGTTGTGGCAGTTGTTACTGATAGTGGAGCAAACATTAAAAAAGCAATCATAAATGAATATACAGCTGAAAAACATATATCTTGTGTTGCTCATACCATCTTGTAGTAGAAAAAGCAATAGAAAAAACTCAAGAAATTAATACAGAAACTAACGTTAAATCTGGTGGTGTCCCATTATTACTATCTAAAGTTCGAGAAATAGTTAAATTTGTTAAGAAAAGTTCAAAAGCAAATGATTTACTACGCAAATATCAAAGTATAAAAGGTAAATTAATTTCTTTTTATGTTTTAATATAACATAATATTAATAATTATTTGACATTAGTAATATAAAATAATTAAAACTGGTTTTGTATGAAAAATTGGCATATAAATAAAATAAATTAGCATATATAATAATTTATATGATATATATTTAATTATTTTATATGTATTGAAATTAACAATTTTTGTATTTTTTTTATTTATTATTTATTTAATATTAAATTATTTTCAGGCAAGAAAGAAGGGCAATATCTAAAGCTAATATTAGACGTTAAAACACGATGGAATAGTTCTTTTTATATGATTGAAAGATTTTTAAAATTAACCAACTACATATCACAAATGCTTCTTACACTTAATTTTAATGCTGTACCCGAGATGTTATCTGCTCATGAATTACGTTGTTTAAAAGATATTTATTCTTTATTAAAACCATTTGAAATACTGACAAGAGAACTTTCTACCGAAATATCTGTCATGTCCAGTAAAGTTATTCCAATAATTTCTGGTACTAGAAATGAAGTGCTAAAGCAAGATCCTGATATAGTTATTGCAATACATTTGAAAATAAAACTTGTTGAAGAATTAGACTACAGATGTGGATCTTATGAACAAACACCTTTACTACCAATTTGTACATTATTAGATCCACGTTTTAAAGATATGCATTTTCAGAATCCACTAGCCAATTCAAAAGCTCAAGAAAAGATTGTTCAAATGATGGATAGTGATAATATTGTGGTGAATCTGGTGTCCCGTCAAATTATCGCGATAATATTGTCGCGGTAATAATATCGCGGAAATAACGTCGTGGTTAATTTCATAGCATATCAATAATCTCGCGCGTCATTATTATCGCAATATTTATTATTTAAAAGATAGCAATAATTTGTTTGCTTTGTACGAACGCTCGTACACGGCAGTATTCGTTTGGTAATATAACACAGCACACAGCCTGCACTATGGAGTATATTACCAACCAAAAAGGTGGAATATTACTAAAATATAAATCCTTCTTATACCAAAAAGAACGTGAAACAACAGATAAAATTATTTGGAGGTGTTTAGAATACACAAAAAAAAATGCCGTGGACGTTTACATTCTTCTGGTGAAGTTGTTCTTCATACAACCGATCATAATAATCACGTTCCCGACATAGGCAAAATTGAAGCAAAAGAGGCTATCCAAAAATTAAAAGAAACGGCAAAAAATACGCAACTAACAACTCACTGTGTTGTGGGGACTATAACATCTGAAGTAAATTTCATTGCACATTTTTATTACCATAATTTTATTTTTTTATTTTATTAGACAATAATTTACATAATATTATAGATTACACAAAGCGCAGCAGGACAACTACCGAGTTTAAATCAATTAAAGCGTACTGTTCAGCGAATTCGAAAAATCGAAACATGTGCTCCACCTATTCCACAATCGTTAAACGATCTTATAATACCAGACGAGTACAGGAAAACAACAAGTGGTGAGACTTTTTTACAGTATGATAGTGTTAATTATGACGGTTACCATGATAGGTTTTTAATTTTTACAACTGAAACAAATTTAAAGTTAATGCAAATATGTGAACATTGGTTGGCGGATGGCACTTTTTTCATGCTCACCTCATATTTTTAATCAACTTTACACAATACACGGAGTTAGTTATTCAAATATCGTACCAACTGCATATATTTTACTACCAAATAAGAAAGAAGAGACTTATAAACGCATGTTTCTTGCATTAAAATCCTTACATCCACAACTCAGTCCAAAATCTATTATGTTCGATTTCGAAAAAGGTGCAATGAATGCTGCAAAATGTGTATTTCCTTCAGTCGATATAAAGGGCTGTTTTTTTCATTTATGTCAAAGTATTTGGCGACATATACAGTCCAACGGATTACAGTCCAAATATTCAAATGATTCCGATTTTGCTCTTAATTTGAGAAAACTAGCTGCACTTGCTTATATTCCAGAAAATGATGTATTGTCCGCCTTTGAAACTTTACTCGAATCTCAATTTTACCAACAAGAAATGTTATCAAATTTAATTGATTATTTTGAAGATACATGGATCGGTAGACCTAATCGTAGAACTAGAAGAGCCCCTTTATTTTCAATTAAAATTTGGAATTGTTATTCAATGTTAGACGATGATATTCCACGAACAAACAATTCGGTTGAAGGTTGGCATAATTCTTTTAATTCTATGCTAAGTGCGCATCATCCATCGATTTGGGCATTCATTACTGCATTAAAAAAAGAAGAAAGTTTAAACCGTTTCAAAATTGAACAATATACTGCAGGATTTGAACCACCAAAGAAAAAAAAATATAAAGATTCCACAATAAAACTGAAGAAAATATGTGATGACTATAAAAATAGATCAGTTGACGACTACTTACGTGGTATATCACACCATTTCCAATACCAACAAATATAAATTAAATTAAAATTATATATATTATGACTTAACTTATAATGAAAATAAAACGCTATTATTGATTATATATGACTGTACTAATTACTTTGTATTATAATATTTTTTTTTACTTAAATTGTAACGAATTCTATATTATTGCGATATTTTTGTACCAACGACATATTTATTTTTACGATATTTTTACCGCGATAATATTGCCGCGATATTTTTACCGCGACAATATTGCCGCGATATTTTGACGTGTATCCGGTGAATCTTGCATTGCCAACTGCAGAATCAGAAGAAAGTGGCAACAGTGACGAACCTTGTGATTTATGGGGCCTTCATAAGACATTAGAACAACAGCGAAATGATAGAAGCTCCTTCATTAACACCTCTAGAGAAGAATTAAGTTTGTACTTAAAGCAAAATATTTTGAAACTAAATGAAAATCCATTGACTGAATGGGAAAACACAAAATCAGTTTATCCAAAATTATTCAAACTAGCAATGAAATATTTACTCATTCCTGCAACATCAGTACCTTCTGAACGCCTATTCAGTAAAGCTGGAGACACCATCAGTAAGACTAGGAACAGATTAACTGGTAGCAGGTTATCTAAGCTTCTTTTTTTACAATCTGTAGACAAGAGCCTTTGGGATTTATGAAATTATCCACAAACATTAATTACTGTTGTTAACTTTTATTCATGTCATTACCCAAAAAAAATATAAAGTTGATTATTTAATTTATATTTATTAATAAGAGATATTGTTATGTTATTTTATTTGTTTATTTACTGATTGACAATAAAAAAAAAATTTTAATTTACTTATACCTAAATGATTTTCAGTTAGATAATAGATTACTTGTTGGTATTTATGATATCAGCAGTTTGATAAGGATATTATCATAGATAATAAAGAATATCTATCTCTAGGAGATAATAATCACAACATAGTCGTATTTATTTGACGTTTTTGTATTAAATGTGGACAAATTATAGCTTGTGTTACAATTTTCCAGTGTTAAAATCGTACCTAGTTTCTACACCTGACTGTGCATGAATTTTAACACGAAAAATTTTATTTCGATATTATCGATATATCGATTTTAAAATTAAATTTATATCGAATATCGATATAGAAAATTTTGATATATCGAAATATCGATATATCGATATCAAAATCAATTTGGACATCCCTAACTGACGGGAAATGACGAAGGAATCAAGTTGGACTGTTTAACAGTCGAGACAATGCCTGAATAGCTCTGACTATTGTCCCATTGACTGTGGGCGGCCAATCCAATGCCGGAATACTCCAACTATTGAATCACTGGACGCGCACCACAACAGTCCAACAAGATCCGTCAAGGCGGGGAAGTCCTTTACCAACAATTGCGTAAGTCTGCCTGGGTAGGTCTTACTACAATGCTGGTAAAGGAATGGTACTTGGTCGCTGGTCGTGCGGCCTTTTATACTCTGGTTATCGGCAATTGCAACCCAGCCGGTCCCGTGTTCTGTGACAGTCCGGCGAGGTCCGGTCCCGTGTTTTGTGACATAAGACCGTGAAACCGTGAAATTGCAATTGCCGATAAATGCGGAGTTAGAATAACACAGATAGATAATAATGATACTGATAGTGATAACGAGATAAATATGGACTTGATTTGTTGTGTGCAAACACACACAAAGTTAAATTAGAATGTTCCAAATTTTTTATACTTTTCACAAGTATAAAAAAATGAGATTGAATAAATGTAAGATAATTTTTAACAGACTCCAAACTTAGCATATTATTACATTTTTTTATACTAACAACAGTTTTATCTTCTAATTTCTGTAAAATTATTTTGAGATTATCTAAATGGTCTGCACAAAAAATTAGCTGCTTTAATCCATGTCCCCCATCTGGTTAATACTGGTTCTGGCGGCAAAGGCACACTGGGCATTATTTCTTTGTATACATCTACTCTCTGAGGTGCTTTAAAAAATACTTTTTTTTAAATTATTAACTAAAGTATTTACATAGGGTACATTTCTCTAACTTTTTCTGCTAGACGCTGGATCATGTGAGCAAGACATGAAATGTGTATCATATTAGGAAAAAATACGTTTAGTGTTTTACCAGCCGTGATCATACATGGTGCTGCATCGGAACATAAAAGTAATACTTTTTCATCATTCCCACCATGAGGCCACAATATTCTCAGGCTGTCATTTACGAAGCGAGAAATTGTCGAATGATTAGTTTTATCTAATTTTTTGCATGCAATTAAAAATGGTTTACTAGAACTTTGTTCGTTTAATACACCAACCAAAATGTTTGCAATATAACTACCGTTGATATCTGTAGTTTCATCAACAACTAAATATATATACGAGTCTCCAATTTTTTCTCTAATTTTTTCAATTGTTCTTACATAACACGGATGTAGGAAAGACTTTCGTAGAGTGCTTTCATCGGGAATGTGTTTTTTTGTATAATTTTGTAAAAAATCGTGAAAGACTGGATTTTGTAGCTTAAACCAAGGTATATTTGCTGCTATGAGGCTCAAACACAGATCTTCATTAAAACTTGATGTTTTTGGTTTGGTTTCATCTCCCAACAACATTTGTTTGCTATTGTTAGAACTTTTTTTTCAAACATTTCAAATGAAACTCGGTAGTTACATGTTGTGTTATGTAGTGATCTCTCACTACAAAGCACTCGAATAAAATGACGTAGTCACACTGTTCGGTGTTCGCCGGTTGTCTGTAGTGACCGGAAGGCGTCAAATAGTAATAACACTTAGTAGTAATAAAAATAATGTTTATTTTAACTTATTAAATAAATTTGTGGACAAAGTTGAATCTTTGCCCGAGATGTTAGTTTTAATTGAAAGTAAAAATAGTTCGAACTTAGAGGCTCGTAGTAAGTAACAACGAGCATAAGCCCGGATTGCAACTAAAGTAATATCTAATTAAGTTCGGAACTCTATCTGTATATACATATACCCTGATTTCGACCAAGGGTACTTGTTTTACAAGGCGTTAAGAATACGTGTCCCAACTTATAACAAGTGTCCTCGATACGTGTTAATAAATTCTAATGATGTATTAAAAAGTTAATTCTTAGAACAGTAGAAAAGATGTGTGCAATATCCTGTTGTTGGTCATAACGTGATAAAACTATAGTAGTATGTACGTAGGTTTACTACAGTTATTTGAAATTTTTTGTTACAACGCACTTGGCGATCACAAACTTGACAATAAATAACTAATCCACTAGTGGTAAACACAGTTTTGTCGCGATTAGGGTAAAGTAGGCAGTTATTGGCATCTTAAGGAAATTTCGCTCTTTACCTAACCTATATCTTGT